ATCGGCCAATCTAATTTGGCCGATTATATATCGGCTTCCCACATCAGTTGATGCTTGCCTCTATAGAGGCACACATTGACTGCCCCATGTTAGCACCTGATTTTTGCACCTCTAGTCAATGTGGCCAATTATATATGAGCTTCTGATATATAGCCAATATATAATCGGCCAAATTATGTTGGCCAATTATGTAGTCAATGTGTGCCTCTAGAGAAAAGTAAATCTTTTAATGAATACCCTTACACATGTAAGGGTATTCATTAAAAGATTTACTTTTTAATACAACCTTTGGTATACAACTATGTGCAGTTTATAACCGATATACTCATCCTATATCGGTGTAGTATGCTGAATTTAAGGGAGGCAGCTGTATATGCACAGAATTTCATTTCTCTGGCTAGCTGGCAGGTAGATGGTACAACGCCTCACATGGTTAGCTATGCAGCTAGTTGAAAGCAACACCTAAACGACGGGTACAGGGAGGGGGTGATGTGGCGCCAGATGCTGGGGTGTCGGGTGGGCGCTGCAATAGACGGGTACCCTGACTCCCACTGGGAGCTGGAAAATGACACATTGGGAGTTGGGGCCGACGCCTAACGCTGGCGCACCAGCAGTGCGCTGGCAACTAGCCACCCAACTCCAAAATTTTTTGCTGGGTAGGTCGAATTTTGTGCCAAGAAACTTTTTTGGTCCCCCAACATCTTGACATGATAATAAATTACTTATATTGAGCTCATCTCATAAACAAACCTTAAAATTGTCTTAGGAAATTTGCATTAATTCTGTCACACCTCAATTTTCAGTTAGACTGATGAACAGATGCTATAATTGAGCATTAAGAAGGTTTTCTGGATAGAGAGCAGGACTGCAGCAACCACGTTTTTGAAGTGTGCTAAATATAAATTTGTTCATTACCCATAATCTCAAACTGAATGTGAGGAAAGCTGCTGAAAAATTACAGTATTATGATTTGTGGTGCGGATTAGTGAAGCATTTTTGTGACTAGATTTATTCCCCATACTGTCAATATGAAGTTGTGAACGTGAATTTGAAAATAATTAGTGCCAAATAAAAATCGCTGTACGTCATCAATTCAAGTAAGTAAGTATAAGTATAGCCTTATAAGTGTTTTAAAGACATTTGTTGAGCGGTTGAGAAAAAATGCTGTATTAGAAAACTGATTGGAAGCAAGTGAAAGGCTACCAAGAGCACTTGAAATGTTTCATCCAATTTCAGGATAGCAATTCCAATACTGTACTTCCGAAATTCTTGACCTCGTCCATAATCCGAGGCTGCGCCTGCTGTATCCGAAGAGGTGATGAGCAGCTATACGAGCCTATTGCGCGAAAAATTGCGTTATTCCGGAGCGACTCACTGATAACCGAAGCACTAAAACTGTGCATATGACGGGATAAATATTTGCCACGTATTTTTCCACTGAGGTTTTGATACTAAGAAAGGTTGCCTTGGTTACGCCTGGCCTAAAATGACTTGAAAATATGCAATATAATGCGCATGGTAATACTTTGATGGACATTTTGAGGGATATTTGAATACAGTACCTCTAAAAAATATGCAGGCTGCCATTGAAGGTTTTGACAATTTTTACCGCTAATTTGAAAGAATGACAGAGCAAATCTAAAAAGATAAAATACTTACGATTTCAGGTGGTGTCAGGATACAGGTAAAATATTTCCAGATTTCAAGCATCCCACAAATTTGTTGGTCAAATTGTTCTTTGTGATTCCAGGTTTAATTTTGTTTTGAAGTTTCTGATTTTTAAATACATTTTTTTTCTGGTACTATACATGCACTTTTAAACGTAGTCAGCTGCTCTGGCCTTATTGGATGAATGAGTGGTGCATAAAATTAAACTTGATTTGTTGAGTCAAAAATAATTTATTTTTGTAGACAGCTGGGGTTTCATTCACCTTCTACATTTGGATTTTAATTTGATGTACTGTATACAGTGGTACCCCGCACTACAAACCCCCTGTAGAATGAGCATTCCCCTTAACAAACATTTTTTTGTGGAAAATCCATTTTTTTCACCCCTGTGGAATGAACAAATTTTGTACTACAAACAAGGGTGAATTCACACCCTTCTTTGTAGTATGAACAAATTTGGTACAACAAACAAGTTTTGTTTGTACTACCAACAAAACTTTTTTTCTTGTCTAAAATTTTGAAATTTTCTGTCAGTATATACCGCAGCAGTATATAATACAGTCAACCCTCGCTTAACATTTTTAGTTGGTGCAGCCAGAAAAAATGTTAGCTGAATAAAATGTTAAGTGAGGGAGTCTCTCCCTCAAGAAATGAGGGAGAAACGTTTAATTGGTGCCAGGAAAATGTTTCTTGAGGTAAAATTCAGAAAAAAATTAGGACCTTCAAGAAAAAGCGCCAAATAATGCGCTTTAAAGATGAAGGATGAATTTTATTTTCCGCAATAAATGCTGCACTTTCAGAATAGAAGGGGGAATATAAGCTTCATCAGATTTCTGACCCATTGTCCTTCCCAAGCTAGCGTGAAAATGGAGATGTGTGCACATAAGTGAAAGTATTCATTTCCCTTAACCCTTGGGTGGCAAAGTCGGACTATTTTTGCGAAATTTTGTTGCACCTCAGGGCAGAAAATAAAAAAAGGACAACAGGGATTTGAGGACAAAGTCAGGGAAAAATCAGATGTTTTTTTTTTTTGCACAGAAAAATTTTGTGGGAAAATGAAAAAAATGCTATGCCAAGCAATGGGCTTTTCTTGGATTAATCCCAACTTCGCCTCAGCCCACCTGGAAGGTCTTTTCTGACCTTCAGAAAAATTAAAACGCTCCAGCATACAAAAATAATCCGATTTTGGCCGGCAATGGGAAAGAACCCTTCGCCATCCAAGGGTTAATGAGTTCAGCTCATGAAAGGATAATCTTGAAAAATGAATTAGGCTATAAGCTGAGTTTACTGCTGTAGGGGGTTGTGTTTGGCCATGTGGGCGAGGAAAGTAGGCTTCACCACGTTTTTCAAACAAGCTAGGGGACGCGGAACGAGAATTTTCTGCATTTTTTTTCCAAACGATTGAAAAAAAATTTGTTGAAAAATAAGTTGGGCTAGGCCAAGGCACTGTTGGGAGTGTTTAGTCAAGTGCACCAACTCAAAAATAAAGATAAGCGCCGAGAGATTTTCCGCTAGGCTTCACCACATTTTCCGACTCATTGACCTTCCAAGCCAGGGATTTTGAAAAGGGTACAGTATTTTGTGCACATCAAGATTTTCATTTATTTGAAGGAATTAAGCTCATGAGAGAAAACGTTGAAAAAGTTTGCACAACTGCAGAACGTTGTGCGGATTTTGGAACGTTAAGGGAGGGGATTTTTCTGGCCAGATCGGGAACATTAAGCAAAAAAACGTTCACTAAACGGAACGTTAACCAGGGGTTGACTGTACTGTGGTATTATATAATACCACCATATATATAGGGTTGCAATGCTGCAATAGCAACAGGCACAGCATATTCCACAGCATTGAAATGCAGATCCGGTAGTACGGGTCTGCGTTGCAATGCTCTGATTGGCCAGTGTTCCCACTCCGGCCAGAGCAGGAACCGCGGTACAACATTATAAAATACCGCGCAGTATTTTATAATACCGCGGTATATAAAACTTTCTGTTCCCACTCATTGCAACGCGGATCTGGTAGTAAGGATCCGCGTTGCAATGCTTGGATTGGCCAGAGCTGGAACACTCTGGCCAGAGCCAGAACTGCTGTATTATATAATACCGCCGTATGTAAAACTGTCTGTTCCCACACTCATTGCAATTTGGATCCAGTATTGAAGAAGTTAAATGTTCAAGACAAAATTATTTATTCCCTTTTTTTTAAACAAAAAATCGAACTTTTTGGTTTTGTGGAACCAATTAAACAATTTCCCATACAAGTCTATGGGAAATCATGTTTTGCATTACAAACGTTTTGTACAACAAACGTAGCCCTGGAACTGATTACATTTGTAGTGCAAGGTACCACTGTATTGGACATGCTTCAAATTTGAATAATCTTATGATGCCAGAATTGATTTGCTTTTTCAGTTTTCAACTTTTGAAGGTATTTATTGGTACTGTAACAAATTTTTCACCCAGTCTTTCAGTGTTCATAGTAGGAATCAGTGGCCAACAACCTGAATTTCTTTTTTAGTCAAGCATGTGCGTGTTTAGTCTCCTCCTGCATTTTACATGCAAATTTTATTCTGTAAGGCTTGTAGTTGAAATAGTTATTGGTTCACGGGTTTTTTTTTTCAAGTTTTCAATTGTTGAAATCTTTTTTGTTGTTTGAGGATGTCTCAACATGTAGTCAAAGAGAACGCATTGATGAAATGTCAATCAGACCAAGACTCTTTTCTGTGACCTTTGTTAGTCAAAATTCTGGAATGTACATTTAGTTTTATGCATTCCCGTGTAAGTTAAAATGCTAATTCAGCAAGATTTCTGCTACTCAGACAGTCAGCCTTGAAATATCACAAAGAAACATTTTCAACAGCTCAGTTGGATTATGAATAATTTTAATTTTGGCCGGGTTCTAATGAAAATTTTTAAAAATGCCAGAAAAACCAAATGCTGCATACATGCATGTCTGATGTAAGGAAATGTTTACATTCAATAATTTGGGAAATGGAGTCATACAAATTAATTGTTGTGAAAAAATTTTCTGAAATCCCACAACTTCTTTGGAACACATTTTCAATGTATATCATCTAGCTGGTCTGGAATAAGTCGAAATTGATGTAAATGTTTTCAAAATGCCGGGGAGTGGGATGTAAGTCTTGTTTTTCACATGAATTTATAATCCTCTTGAGTACAGGGCTGGCAAAGTATATGTGAACATCATCATGGTGCTAAGGTTTCTGTGTTTATTACTGTTGGTCAACCTGTCCAACAATGCACCAGTGCCTGAACCACAGTCAGCTGATGAGCAGCAACAGACAAAAGACCCAATTTTCAGAACTGCCTTGATAAACCAGAGCTTCAAGGGTTACAAGCTCATCAGAGCCCTGCCTGATGATCAAGAAAAGCTGAAGGTGTTAAGAGCACTTGTTCTTGACCCATCTTTGGACTTTTGGACATTCCCTGCAGGGATCTTGATCCCAGTAGATGTGCTGTCACCACCAGAGAACCTGCAGGCTTTGGAGGAAACCTTGAAGAGAAATGTGAGTATTTTCTATTTTGTATAAACCTACAATTTGATTGCCCATCTTACTATAGTGATTATTTCTTGTATTGTGGATGACTGCGTTATAGTCAGAATAGTATTTTTGAACATTGGAAACACATCCAATCTGAAGTACATGGCGTTAAATAACTTTCTGCTGCACAAATGCCGCTTTCCAATGTTGACCTTTTTATCACCTGAAGTTGTTGGATTTGAATGCTTCTTGATACAGTCTGACATTTTGTTTGCATGTCTTTGGTGCACTCAAGGATGACTTTGAAAAAACTGTGACAGGGAGTGCTGGGCAGAGTCAGGAAAAATGCTGGCATTTTGTCAAAATTTTCTACAGAAAAACTTTACTCAAATATGAAGAAAGTAAATCTTCAAGGCTCACTCTTCCCTCCTGTCCTTGTGTGATGGCTCCCCCATTCAAAGATTAAATGCAAGCTTGAAAGCCAGGAGCCTAAGAGGTTACTAAACAAAAAGTCCAACTGGAAATTTTTGTAGCAATTCTTAAATCCCCAGATGAAATTTAATTTTGCCCTCCGCCCCAGCTAGCAGGGGTTGCGTAACCTTGGGTGAAAATGAAATGCAGGCCCAACCAAAAATGTCCAACTTGGCCTTGGGATGGAAAGGAGGCTGCTGCTGTCCAAGGGTTATAATGGTTATGAAATAATAACATGACATATGACATGCCTCCAGTGAAGGCTTTTGGTCAATTCCAAGAACTTTTGTTAGAACCCTTGTATACGTCATATAAGGTCCATATACATTAACCAAATATTACTCAAATGCAAATTTAAAAATTGAAAAACTCCTTCAGTTTTCAGCTGTTTCATTTTCTTTCTATGTTCAAAAATGTTTTGTGAGTCTTCCAACATTTCCCAAATCCCTGTGTTTATAGGTAAAAAAAAAACAACAAAGAAGCACCAATTACAGGTGAACCCTCTCTCCAATCACCTTGTCTATAAAATTATTCTATCTGCATACAATTTTATTCTTGGGCTGCATAGGGTTCTTTCCCATGGTTCTCTAACACATCATTTTCTGATGGTCCCTGGAATTTTGTGCAGTAGAGAGTCCAACTGTAGTGTCAGTCTATTGGGACTCAGTGTTATCACTGATAGCATTGAGTCCCCATAGACTGAAACTATACTTGGACCCTCTACTATCAGTTGACTCTCTACATATCATATGTTTTTTATCCAGTTGAATTGTCTGCTGCATATTTTTGGCATCACTTATTGAATATTTTTTACAGTGTTTTTTTTGGTTTAAGAGAGCAAATTTTCGATTGATACATCATGATTAAACTATATTACACATACAGGACATCAGTTACCGGTTCATCATGGAAGACCTGGACAACGAGATCGACCGGACCATGTCCACCGACAGTGCTCGTTCCCCCATAGCAGACTTCACCTTTTCCGAGTACCACGGAACCAAGGTGATTTACCGCCAATTGGACGACTGGGCCGACCGTTACAAGGACCTCGTATCCATTTCTTCCATTGGGAAATCAAGCCACGATCAACAGGACATACGACTCCTGACCATCAGTGACCCATCCATAGGATCCGCACAGAAGCCCGCCATTTTCATTGATGGAGGTTTGAATAATGTCATGTTCCCATGCACATTAGTGTGCAGCTGGTTATCACTAAACACTTAATGTTAGTTGTGGGCTTGACTGACACTTGACAATTTGACAGTACTGTATAGACCATAATCTCATAGCAAGAAACCCCCAATGAGGAACTGGAACTATGCATGCCAAAAAAAAAAATTCTTGCATTGAGACATCAAGGGTTTTAATGTTCAGTACTGAAGACTGACTTTTTATTGTAAAGAGGCAATAGATATCATAAAATGCCTCTGGAAAAGATAATTTAGGCTTTTTCGAATTTATAACTCATTCTTGAAATTAAAGGGGAAATATTGGAATGGAATCTTCTCCCTCAGAACATGCAGATAATTTTATACTGGAAGAGTTGCACCATTTGATTGAGGAAACATGATTGAGGATATTCTGCAGTGATGACTTTAGGACTGCTGGTAAAACAGTGTCATCTGCAAATCACGAAACATTAATTTTACTGGTACTCTTGTGCCAACCATAAGAAATTTGGGCAGATCACCAACAAAAAACTAAAACAATAATGGTGATAAGCAAGAACCCTGTTTCAATTCATAATTTGCAATAAATACTGAGCCTCTTGTTACCAGTGAATCAGTGATAATATGGAACTCAGTTTCATCATGCAGACTGGCAAGTGCTTTCAAGAATTTAAACTTTTAAACAATACACCTACAATTATGATAGCTTACAAAATAAAATTTGTCTTTTGCTGTATATCCACAATTATGAATTTTTTCATATGAAATGTTATTGAAAAACTTGTAATGTTACAAAAGTTGGACTTTTCCATTCTACTTTAAATTGCAAATATTTCCTATGGCCAATGCACAGAACCAGAGTAAGAATGTTTCTGTTACATACTGAGAGTACAGGCATTAATGTGTTGTTAAAACCGGGTTACTGTAATGTGGTTCTATAGCTATATACATGTACAAATGTTAAGGATTTCCCCAAACAAAGTGATTTTACAAATAAAACACCAAAATCAGCCTTGGACTGGCTGGGAGCCTCTTTATAGCGGCTCCAAGAAATTAATATTTATTCATGTTCCAGAAGAATCTACAGCTCAGCATCTTTTTCCAGAGAAATACACACACACACACAATAATTATTGGTGAATGGTGGGATTCTTTCCTGTTTTCTGATTGGTTCAAAAAGGTATAATTGCAGACAATGATGCCCATTGTTGCACAAGTTTCCAAGGATTTTGGGGGCAAGTTCTTTGGCGTGAGGCTGTATATAGGAACAAAGCAATGCATGATTTTTGGGATGTGGGAGGAATATTATATTATATTCTTACCAGTGGGCGCTACAGTCCCCAACAAGAAAGAAACTTCTTGAACCCTCCTATGCTGTAATTCATTACATTCAAACTCAAATGGAGACTAATTTTTCTACATTGCAGCATATGAATTGGGAAATTAAATCATTCTTTATGAGAAATTTGAAACCACATAAATTAAAATAATTTATACTGCACACTTCAATTCACTCATGATTTGAGCTTAAGATGTTGTTTCTATAAGTATTCTTTTTCAAGATACTTTTGCTTTGGAGTATGTTCCACATTATATATTTTCATTTTGTTCCTGGAAATGTTGCCCCACTTTTAGCAATGCATGCAAAACAAATTCCAAATAACTTTTTTAAAAAGGAAAATGGGGTTCATAGTACAGTACTGTACTTGAGTAAATACAGTTCAGTATTACAGTTGATAAAATAATAGTGAAAATTTTGATTTTGTCCAGGTATCCATGCTCGCGAATGGATCAGTCCTGCAACTGTAATGTACATTGCCCGCCAATTGCTGTCAGCCAAGGACAATCCTGACACTCGATTCCTGCTGGAATATTTCGATTGGCACATTGTGCCGGTGTTGAACCCCGACGGCTACGACTTCTCGCATGCTGGCCGACTCAATCGTTTGTGGCGCAAAAATCGGTCCAATGCGCCCTCCACCACCGGCATATTTGGTCGTCGAATCACCTTGCTCACTGACCAGTTGTCCCGTCATATTTGTCCTGGCGTCGACCTGAACAGGTGAATTCTTTTGGTTTTTTTTTTATAAATTGGGTGTCAACTTTGTTGATGCAATGAGTAAGTGACACCGTGACTTGTTATATTAGAATAAAGTTGTGTGAGAACCCTCAGAACCCCTGAAGTCCTTTTCAAAACATAACTTATTAAACATATTACTCTAAGGTTCAATTGCTGAACTTTTCTAAATCATATCAGATGTGCCTATAACATATTGGATCGTGCTTCACTGGCATTCTACGATTATTTTTTATTGTTTGAGAAACGGTGCGACCTTTTGAAAAATAGCTTTAATCATGCTTTCCAGCAGTTGCACCAATATTTTCATTCCTTGTGCATGGTGTGAAAATTTCTACATTATGGGAGGATGATGAGTAGAACTGCTCGGAAGCATGTTTGTCATTGAACTCAGCTTCCCTTCCATGCTACAAAAACCAGCTATGACTCACATTGGTCATCAGAAATTTCAGACTGTGCCTGCCTTAGTCAGGATATTGCTAACTGGAGAATCTATTGAACATTACCAAAATAAGTTTGTTCTACTGGAACCAGGAAGTTTGTTATAAGAGGGATGTTTCAACTTGAACAATATGAGCTTCCTGTTGGGACTTGATAAAAAATTTGCTTTGCTGAACAATATGTTTTAATTGGGGTATTTGTTGTAAATGGTGAACTTATTTCAAATTTTGGGATCATCTGGAAATGCGCCATCATTAAAAAGGTGTCTATGCTTCCCCATTTTCTGCTTGTTAAAATTACACCAGTTTTCATATACATTTTGTACCTCATGAATCACCCAGCGTGTAACAGCAGATATATGACCTTCACTACCTGCCTAGAAATTTTAATAATCTTTGACATATAACCGTGATATCTTTAATTGATCTGGGTCCAAATGCGGCAAAATAAGTGAGAAGAAATAAAACGATTAAACTTGGTACCTAGTATGTAAACAGATCTGCGTTGTTGCTTATGCATAACGAGGAGCAAATGCGACTAGAAGTAGCTTCTCTTTGCTCTAACGGCGTCTCTCTCAAACGCCCTCGTCCCGATCACCCTCCTCTTATGCAGGTGTCGCTGCTTGTCTCACTGAAATCATTCTCCTTTCCTCACAGAAACTTCGAATATTTTTGGAAATCCGGTGGCTCGTCAGACTGGGCGTGTAGCGAAGTGTATGCCGGCCCAGCAGCAGGTTCAGAATCGGAAACAAAGGCCCTCAGCTCCTATTTGCTCCTGAACAAGGACAAGTTCAAGAGTTACTTGACATTCCACTCGTACGGCAGAGCTATTTTGTTGCCCTGGGGCCACACGACGGACCTTCCTGCCACTTACAACGAGTTGCTGCGAATGGGCATGCAAAAGTTTCTACCGTAGCACCGAAGACGGTTTCGTCTACCCGCAAGTTGAAGTATGAGGTATCCTTGTCGACCATCTTTTAAAGTGGACTACTAAATACGGTGGCCGTTTATTCAATGGTTAGGTGATGGGGTCTTATTGATTAAAAAAAACTTGATCCATTCCTGACCAAGTTTTGTCCACCAAATAGTTTAAAAAATCAAATAACGTTTTTCCTTGAGGAAGTACAGTGACAATTTTAAATGGTTCTTGAACCTTAAAAGTTTCCTTGAAAATGAATAAAATTCTCCCCTAAAAATTTCATGTGCCCTAAACTCCAAGAGCTTTTATTGGAAAAAGTAAAGAGATGAGCAGGAAAAAGTGTGTATCCCAGAGAGGGTGGGTGGAGTGAAGAACTTTTATGAAAAACCTTCATTTAGTAAATTTATTTGAGGCTCTTATATAGTCAATCCTTTTACACAATTCATCCAGCCTGCCCTTTAGATCAACCTGCATATGTAAACACAACTAAGATCACAAACTGCAGGCCAAAAATGCTTTGTTTAGGTAAAAAATAAATTAAAATCACCTCAAAAATGGAACCACTGCCATGAAGTAAAAGCAGATTGAGAGAAATACCAAGAAAGAGTTTTGCAAAAATGAACCAATATGTTAAAATACAGTCAACCTCAACACAATGGATTTAATTCATGCAAAGGATGTCTGTTGTGTGAAAAGGTTCAATTATCAAGACATTAACCTTTTTCTTTTACCATCAATTTCAAATCAACAGAAGTCTTTTATGCAGATTTAGTCCTTTGTGCTGGAGGGCAAACCAACTCCTGAGGCAGTCCATTGTGCAAATCTGTTACATCATACATGGTATGTCCATTGTAAAGGGGGGTTTCTGTAATAGTTGAATCATGAGAAAATCATTTTATTTTTGTTTTTCCATCCTACTTAATCCTGTAGAAGAGGAAGAAATAGCCACTGCAAAATATTTGGTGCCAATGCCAAATCCAAGGGGGTTGGTAATTTGGGAGGCCTGCCTTTGAAACCCGAAGTCTGTAAACCAAGTCAGGGGCTTGTTATCCAAGGCAGCCAAAGCTATGATGCAACATTTTTATCCAGTTTGTGAAAAAGGCATTTGTTAACCAAGACCACACTGTATACAGGTGAACTCTGTCTGCACAAAAAATTCTAGGGACCAGGAAATAAGAATAATTTCAAAGATAATTCCTTTGCAGTGAATTTATTTGTAATTCTTTTTTCAGTCCCAGCAGAAACAGTTCTCTCCTGGTGTTATATACAGTTTAGGGTTTTCTACACTGAAATTCTCCCTACAATGAACTTTTTTTTTACAGTGCATTGAATTTTGTGCAAGAGTTCATCTGTATTAAATTAAATATATTGAAGATGAAATGCGGATAACTGTGTTAAAATTTCGACTATCTACGTGTCTTGTATGAGATCCTTCATATTTCTCTGAATCTTAAAAGTTGTTTGCAGCACTTGTTCAACCAAATTTGAAGCACTGTATATAAAATGTTGAAATTTTGTGGCATAAAGAGTTCACCTGTATTATTGAATTACGCATATGGAACGTGATATGATAATTAATTTAGGAAAATATAAACTATTTGCGCGTGTCGTGAAATACCCTTCAAATTTTGAAATCTACAGTACAGAGTTTTTTTCAGTACTTGATTAACAAAAAATTTATGTTATCCACCCCTCAGCCAACCTATTTTACATCGCCTCCGGCGGCAGTGACGACTTTGCCCACGGCACAGCTGGGATCCCCTACGCCTACACGATTGAGTTACCTGACCAGGGTACCCACGGGTTCCTCCTGCCGCCATCCGAGATCCCCAATGTTGGCAAGGAAACTTTTGCTGGAATCGTGGCCTACGCGGCCGAGCTGGCCAAGACGCTCAATTTGTCGCAGAAACAACGTGGCGGCGAAGATGAGACCAGCAAAGACAAAAAGGACGCCGTCAACAGTGTCTTGCCTGCTGAGGTCATCAAGATTGGCGTGGAGGTGGCCAGCACCACTTTGGCATCAGTGGCACAGGTGGAACAGTGAAGGCAGTGACAATGATTCAGTGCAGCAGGGGATCACATTTTTTTTGCGATATTTATTTGATGCGGTTGGCGAAAAATACAGCCATTTCTTTGCATAAGTATTGAAGGCGAAAGTCATGTTATGTACATATTATTTATTGTAGATTTGTACGTGAACTTTCATAACTCACAGCTTAAATAAAATATTGCGCTGCGTATTGGATTCTTTTCAAGTCCCCATATGAATTTACAGTACATTTCTTTGGAAAAATGCATTAAAAACCTTTCTTACCTGAAGGTTTTTTCTTTCAAACCCTGATAAGCTGAATTTCCTGGAGGTCTTTTGGCTATTATTTTATTGACAGAGGAAAGAGAAAAACAATACAAATTCAAATTGATGCATTTTGAAAGACAAATCATGGGTGGGCGAATTAACCCTTGCCTCCAAGTTCAGCCTCCTGTAAACTTGAATGAGAAGCAATTGAATGACCAGCAGGAATATCAGCGAATTATAAATTTCTTCAATTTTTCCTACATTTCAAATTCTGTTTGCATATGATGCACAAGAACACTGAGAGTTTCGAAAATGAAAAAAACCAGAAGATGGTATTTCACTGAATGGATCGCTATGTTCTCTATTCTTCAAGACGGCAACAAAAATTTTCACATTAAATGAGGCACCTTTTTTATGTACTTTTTTATGTATGCTCCAAACAATGCCCCTGCATTTCTTCACAATTTTTTATCCCCCATCCTGGGATTTAATAGAGACTGCCAATAAGTATTTCCAACAGTTACAACTGTGGAGCAACTGAGCAAGATGCAAAAAAAGCCGGGGAACACAAGGGGAATAAGAAAAAAAAGCTTGGATTCCCGACTGATTTTTGAAAATGAGACAGGGCTGCAGAGAAAGGCTTTAATTATTGAGAGTTTGGGACTAGGTTTTTGAAAGGAATCGGGATCAACCAGATAGAAGAATTCTCAGAAATTTTTACTCTTTTTCTGTCTTTGACCTGGCAAGGTCAAAGTTAAATACATTCAGTAACATTAAAAAAAAACCACTGTTAGAGTCCAGCAAGTATTCCTTTGAAACCCCTTTGATACCTGGAATCTTTTAGAGATCAGCATCTATTGGAGACCAGCCATTTAATGGAGCATTTAGAGTACATCTGAACCTGATTCAAAAACATTTTGCACTATACACTAAATACTGCACTGTATTATAATTTCTTGGAAATGGAGTTTCACTAATTCCCCATCAATACTTGAAGTGGTCCTGAATGCAATTTTTCTGCTCAAGTACCCCCTTCACCCTCTTATTCAGAAATTCAGTTCAAGGAGTGGAGTGTGTGTTGAATGCATTCAGTGACATTTGAGGAAACAATCCAAGACTGTAGAAGGAGTAAGACATACATGGTTGGCCAAAAAAAAAGTGAACCAATTTTTCACCTAAAATAGCTCAGAAGCAAATCGGGCTGTGGCAATGAAAAAATACCAAATGAAAGCTTGTCCAGTTTCAATTCAAATGGTATAAAGTTTTATGGTCTGAGTGCCAAAGAATAATCACAAGAAGCATTTCAATGGCAACTTTCCAAAAAAAAGTTGTCAGGCAACTTTTTCCACTAAGCTGCTGTTTGGATCAATAAAGGAAATGAATGATGCAATAATATAACCAGCAAAGCTCTCATGCTATCTTGAAGAGCCTGCACATGCTTCCAAAATCCAGATATAGAAGGGGTGACAACTGGTAAGAAAATTGGCAAGATAGGATGCTGCAGAGCTCCTTATCTGTTGTGCATGCGTGCAGCTGATGGACGCTGGCCTCACCTGGCTACCACACAGAGACCCACTGCATGCATTTTTTTCTGAATGACTGGATTGCGGAAACTGATCTTAAATGAAAACAATTTTGAAATAAACTGATTGTAGGACTGACTTGCTAGTTCAAGTTGAGTTCAACTCAAAACCAGTTCAATTCAAAATAATTTTCATTAAAGATCGTTTTCTGCAACCCAGCAATTATTCAGAAAAAATAGTACATGTAGTATTTCTCTGGTAGCCACATGCACCAAGTGCCCAGCAGTATGCATGCAGAAGGGGACCTCCGCTACATCCTATCTTACCAATTCTCTTCCCTTTTTTCACCCCATCCATATCTGAATTTTGGGTGCATGTGCAAGCTCTTCAAGACACCTTGAAGTTTGCTGGTTACATTATTGCATTTTTCATTTCCTTTATGGATGCAAACAGCTCTCCAGAACAGCAGCTTAGTGGAAAGAGTTGTCTGACAATTTTTTTTTAGAGTTCTCATTCAAATACTTCTTGCGACCATTCAGTGGCACTTTGGACCATACACTTTTTATCATTTAAAAGAAAATTAAACAAGCTTTCAATTGATGTTTTTTAATGGCCAAAGCTCAAATTTCTATACTGAGCTATCTCAAGTCAAAAATTGGTTCATTTTTTTGACCCACCCTGTATATTGAGGTTCAAATCAAATGGGAAAATGGAAATGTGAAAAAACATAATGCAGCCCAGTTGAATTCCAATTTTATCCATATAAATTTCAAATGTTATCAATATACGTTTTAAATTTTATCTTTATAAATTATAAATTTTATTAGAGTAAATTTTCAAAATCTTGACAGTAAAAATTTCAACTTTTACCATTTTTTCCCTAGAATGAAAAAGTTTTTGACCCAAAAAAATTTAAGAAAATCTGCTAGATGGATCGTTTTTGTTGTGGAGGGAATGCTTTTCTCTTATTACGAATGCTCATAATGTCACATATTTTTGAATTGAGTGAATATGGTACCAAATGCTCTCCTCAAGTTCTCCCAGGCATGTAATTGAAGATGAACCTCGCAATGACATGACTGAGGTCATCTCAGGAAAGCAATGCTGTGTACAGTACAGTACATGTAAATGCATTTACTGTACTGTACGTTCAAGCTAAAGACGCCTGCGCCCATATAGCGCCCAGGGTTTTGATTCTGCGTACAAGTGGCACCGGGTGACCTACACCCAGATTCGGCAGGAACCCACTCCAAGAGCATTATCAGAAACAGCGCATGCCCGCCAAGGCGGGTTCCAACACGCTCCCCCCGGCCCACACACGAGCTGAAGACCCGCACCCGTGCAACCCCTTGCCCGGCCCAGGCGTTCCCCTTCACACATCCCACCACTTGGCCTCGGAGTGGCCCAGATATCCCAGAATCTGACCTTGGTTGACCCATTTCCAGCCAGCGCGAGAGGTGAAGGGGGAGATCTCGACCTGGACCCCCTCACCTTCTCTATTCTTGAATCTCTATGAGAAGGTCTTGGAGCTGCTGCTGCTCATTCGTCTTCAGCAGCTCTACCAGAATGAAAGCAGTGCCATCTATTGGTTATACACAGACATGAATACAATCCTTGTCTCTCTTTCTCTCTCTCTTCTCCCATCTGTGGTACAGAGGAGTTTTCCTTTTTAGCAGGCAATTTATAAAATGTCAGTGCGCCAAAAACTTTTATAGATGAGCCAAAGGCAAATACTTGTGTAATTCCCTGTGAGCACATTCATTTTGGCCATTACCCTGGGGCCTATATGCTGTTGTGGTGGTGGTTTTTGCCCCTATAAATCTGGCCATATCTCTAAAATATACTGCGAAAAACCTCTTCCCTTCGTCAGTTGAGATTTTTTTTGGTGGTCAAAAAAGCAGCATCTATATGCAAGAATAAACTTATTTCAGAATTTTCCTTGAACATATTTATTTTGCAACAGAAAAATCACTGGACTATGAAATACCAAATATAAAACTATCCAGGTATGGTACACAACTTGAGTGACAATTCATTAATGTTTTTCTCCTAGATGTTGCTTTAGTACAGGAAACAATCAGGACACAAAGACTATAACCCAATGGTTGGCCTGACTTCTGCAGGATATTGATATGGAAAATCATGCTTGAGAAATACATGTATTTTACAGATGATTGTATTAATTTTGTTTCTACAAAGTGACTGGATCCAAACTTGAAATTGACCAAATTGCCGTTGATTTGACAAAACCATATTTTTAAAATTTTTCTTGCTTCATCTGAGTTCTGACAATAAACACCCAACAAGATAGCTTCCAAAAAGGGGGAAGGACTTTGAACTCTTTTAATTTTAAAACATACTTTTTTCAATCAACATGCAAACTGAGAATGTTGAACAGGTACTGGTATATTTTCAAGCTTTTAGAGTGAAATCTGATTCAATTTTAATTCTCAATTCCAGAGTAAAATCCTTTACCCAATGTTGGAAAAAACTTTGGTATGCCTACACGTTGGTGCCAGATCAAGTAAAATTACTCTTCTGTTTCATAAATCTTGAGAAAATGTAGCAGCTTCTGCTGGAGCCTGAGAACCAAACCCAAGTTTGGTTCCCAGGCCCAGCAAGGACATTCCTGAATATATTTCTAATCACGTCCTTCAACTCTTCCTTTCCTGAATTCCAAATTTTGGATGATTTGAACACCTGCATTCAAATTGCTGACCTGAGCAGATCTCTGTGCAGAAAAGCTTCATACACACCATTCCAAAAACCTTAACCAGTGTTCATCTACAAAAAATTACAACTCTTTATATTAGTACTACTTGTCCTGGCCACAGCCCGGCTGATTTACTGAGTTTTCATCTTCTAATTGATTTGTTTCCTCATTCAGAAGGTTCACACTTTCATATCACATTTTGTTTTGAATCTCTATCTTCTGATCAAGTTTTTCATATCCATCAAGTTTTTGTTCAATCAACTTTGTGTGAGACACTTTTTATTGTATTCAACATCTTTTTCTCACACCCGAAAAGGATTTTTTTGTACATCCAACTGATTTTAAATGGAGCTTTTCCAAATTAATTACCTGTTCCTGGTCACGGATAGATTTCCTTACAAAATATGTTTTCCTGCTCCATGATGATGGTAAGAAATGATGATTTGATTCCGACTGTTCGGAATGCTGCAGGCAAAAAAAAAATTGATTGATCATGTGAGGAGGAGACGTCT